AACATCATTTTCAAACATGAATATTATGCCACACATATAATAGTGCCTAGTTCTACTCTAGGAGTGTACACATACTAATTCTTTCAATCATCATAACCTTGTGGTCTAGTACTATCTTTAACCTAAAAAGAAGAAACTAAACCATAAATTTGTGCCCAAGATCACTTAGCTCATATGTGGTGGAGCTGGCACATGATCATGGGAAATCCATCTAACATGTGTGAGCTTTTGACCACTTTGTTCTTTGGCTATTTTTATATTTAGTCCTCATAATCACCCTAACAGAATATTCTCATTTACAGAGATGAGGTTTGGAACAGTTAATAGCTGATATTAATGATTTAAAAGAAAAAAGTCTGGGGACTATTCTAAACTGAAGCAGAACAAAGCCACATGACAACTAAGTGCAAAATACTCTCTTGGTTCCTGTATTGCATGAGGGATGTTATAAATGGCAATATTTAGACAGTATGTTAATTAGTCAATGTTAAATACTCTGAGTGTTTATTTTATTAGGTACGAGAATGTCTTGCTCTTGATTTGGGGATACATTCTGAAGTATTTAGGGGTGGTATGTCAGGATGTCTACAACTTACTCTGAAATGGTTCAGGCAGGCAGAAAGCAAACAAAAAAGAGAGCAATTGTGGGGAAATGGTAGCAATTGGTGAATGTAGGTGAAGAGTATATTGACTATTATACTATTTTTACCAATTTGTGCAGATTTGAAGTTTTTCAAAGCAAAAAATTGGGGAGGTGGAAAAAAAGTGATGATGTTTGATTTCCTCCGCTGTTGGAAAAGAGTGAGAGGAAAGGGTGCTCCAGGTTTGAGTGTTTTGGGGATATCTTCTAGTAAATTCCCTTTTGTTTAAGTTAGTCATAGTGGATTTTTGTTATTAAAACTAAAAACCCTAAAATTAAAGCTAGAATGTATACAATATACACCACATAGGAGTTTATTACAAATAGTTTTAAGGCAATCGAACGTATTTTGAAATATGTGGGGGAAGTATGGTATTCATGCCTACAAATTGAACGTGTCAAAAGCGAACCTCAGTGCACTTTTCACCAAATGTTCTCTCCTTGTATGTACTAAAAAGACACAGGTCCAACATGCTGTCGCTTCAGCTAGGCCAAGTCACCAAACTGGGATTTAATACCTAACATAATTGTAGTTTCAACCTCCCCCAGAAATGTAGTCAGTCAGGAATTTTCTGGTCAGCATGGATCAGATAAGTCACATATGCCCTCTCCATCCACAGAGGAAGATGAGGTAACCCACCTAATGAGACCCTTATCCTTGCCTCCTCTTACACACACAGATAACATCGGAATGTGTATAACATGATCTTTTAGGACACTAACTAAATGTATCCATGCTACACTGATTGATGTAACTTTTCTTCAAGTATCCCTTGCTGTAGGAAAAGTATTTAAGAGGTCTCAAAGAGGATTTAGTGCAGTTTATCAGAGCACATGGATAGGCTGCTCTCCAGCCATGGTCCTCATAAATGAATTCTATCTTTCTTAAATACATGAGTCAGTGTTGAACTGAACATTGGGCTAATCCTTTGCCCCAAAACTGATCTTCCTTTTTGTGTACCTGTAGCTCTGGGCGGGGGGAGGTTTCAGCCCCAGGCAAGTTCACTATGGATTCGGTGAGACAGAATAATGACAACGGAACATTGTCGGTAAAAAGGGGCTCATACCAAGCTATATTTTCACTGCAGTCACCCAGCTGTCTATAAGTGGCAAGCCCGTCTTTGTCTCTACCCCTGGCTCCAGCCTCTGTATAGGTTCTGCCTCCACTCCAAGCTCTGCCCTCTTATTTAGGCTCTGCTCAGCCGTAAATAGCTCATTGCCAATGGGTATGCAAGCAAACACCTGTGCAGTAGGCTAAGTATTACTTCATCGTATATCTACAATGGGTGAGATTAGGATCAGGTGAGAATCATGGCTATGGAATTTCCATTTTCCCCACAGTACCTTATGGTCAATCGCATCGAGTACATTATGTGAATAAAACACATTGGAATTCAGTTGCCAGGGGATGTATGGTGAGAACCTGAGCCAGTGGCTCGCACCTTGAATAAACTTACTCCAGAAATGACAAAAGTCATTAGGACCACATTTAACTTTCCATACAAGAACAGTGCACTTTTGTATAGGACAATTAGGAAATGGGAAGAATGAGAGCACAGAGTGGGACCCATCAAGTAGGTTATTGAAGGAGGAGAAATGTAATATTCCAATGGCTACAACGTGCAGTGTACATTTGATATCTACTTTTTAATCATCACAAGAACTCTGTGATAAAAGCATTATCTCCAATCTATGTGGCAAGGGCCTCAAACCTAGAGCCCAAAGATATATTTTTTCAAAATGCCTATGTTGTCTTGGTGGTAAGAAGGGGCCTATCTGGGAACACTGCCTCCCAGTGCTGTTGGGTAATCTAGTCCTGGGAGGTGTCCCTGCATGTTCAGTGAGACCTCAGCCTGAAAGAGGGTTCTTGACTCTGATGGAGAAATAATTCATGAAAAGGTCCGACAAGTGTAGGAAGGGAAGGAATTAATTAAAGCGAGAGTGGTTGTGGATGGCAGCAGCCATGAAGGCAGCAGAGAGCAAGGAAGAGCAGAGGGAGGAAAGGAAAGTTCATTGAACTCCTGCTCAGCACAGGGCACATCCCTTGCCAAGTCCTGAAGTGAGGGCCACCTGGTGTCCATTGTCCACCTGACCTGCAACTGTGGGAATAAGCCTCCATCACCCCAGAATATGGCTATGGAATTTCCATTTTCCCCACAGTACCTTATGGTCAATCGCATCGAGTACATTATGTGAATAAAACACATTGGAATTCAGTTGCCAGGGGATGTATGGTGAGAACCTGAGCCAGTGGCTCGCACCTTGAATAAACTTACTCCAGAAATGACAAAAGTCATTAGGACCACATTTAACTTTCCATACAAGAACAGTGCACTTTTGTATAGGACAATTAGGAAATGGGAAGAATGAGAGCACAGAGTGGGACCCATCAAGTAGGTTATTGAAGGAGGAGAAATGTAATATTCCAATGGCTACAACGTGCAGTGTACATTTGATATCTACTTTTTAATCATCACAAGAACTCTGTGATAAAAGCATTATCTCCAATCTATGTGGCAAGGGCCTCAAACCTAGAGCCCAAAGATATATTTTTTCAAAATGCCTATGTTGTCTTGGTGGTAAGAAGGGGCCTATCTGGGAACACTGCCTCCCAGTGCTGTTGGGTAATCTAGTCCTGGGAGGTGTCCCTGCATGTTCAGTGAGACCTCAGCCTGAAAGAGGGTTCTTGACTCTGATGGAGAAATAATTCATGAAAAGGTCCAACAAGTGTAGGAAGGGAAGGAATTAATTAAAGCGAGAGTGGTTGTGGATGGCAGCAGCCATGAAGGCAGCAGAGAGCAAGGAAGAGCAGAGGGAGGAAAGGAAAGTTCATTGAACTCCTGCTCAGCACAGGGCACATCCCTTGCCAAGTCCTGAAGTGAGGGCCACCTGGTGTCCATTGTCCACCTGACCTGCAACTGTGGGAATAAGCCTCCATCACCCCAGAATTAGAGGGAGCCATAGAGCACTGGATGGAGTGAGATTATGTTCTGAGAACTTCCCAAAGCAAAGGAAGATTTGGGGCAGGCCTAAAGAGAATGATCATGCAGCTGCAGTCCCATCCCAGGGACTTGCAAGCCCAAATCAGAGATCTCAGTAGCTCTTGCCTACTTGTCTGAAGTAGAACAGAGAGGGAGAGAGAGAGAGAGAGAGAAGACTTATACTTAAGTCTAGAAAATTGAATGAAATAGTGAAGTAACAAAGATGCTTATCACAGGAAAAGGGGTCTTTTATTAATCTCCCAAACAGCATGGAAAAGCGTGGAGACAAAACCCAAAAAGTTGAGCAGCAAGAAAGCTTTATTTAAGGTAAAGTACACACTTGAAGAAAGGGGAGTACAGGCAGCCTCGGAGGAGCAGTGTGCTTAAAGGCTTAGAATTTGGGTTTTTAAGGAATGCAAGAATGGGGTAAAGGGCCAAGGGAGTGTAGGGTGATGTGTCTTGTGACATCTATCTTTGGTGATAGAGACATTAACATGGTCAGTCCTCTAGATATTCTGTAAGACAAGCAATACAAGCAATCTGTTGGTCCTGTGCTTCTCCAAGATAATGGTTAACCTCAAGCAGTGGGAACATTCAGAACTGCTTGCTCTGCCTTAACACAGGGTAGGTTATTGGCTAATAACCATAAAATATGTTACTATTATTACCTCCTAACTCCCTAGTTTTTAAAATGGTATCTTAGCCTTAACATGGAGTCCCTCATGTTCTTACTATACTATTTATATCTCAGCATTTTCATCATAGGCAGGAAAAATTAAGAATAATGCTTGTTCCATGTCCCTGCTCTACCTCTCCAAGATTAGAGCAGAATGTAAATACCTCAGGAAAAAACTTCGACTGATTGAGGGCCCAAATGTACTGTTCTGCTTGGATGGCATTTTGAAATAAGAGACAATACTATCACCTTTTATTCTTTTTAAGATAGGTGATCCCTTTTCTCCTTAATAGGGAAAAATACTAATTAGAGAACAAATAGCCATTATGAAAAACAACTGCAAATACCGTGAAGGGTTTATATACAATTCAAACACTCAGTACAGTGACAGACACGGACCCCGAGGTGTAAGGCTGAGCCTGAACGTTTGAATTCCAAGTCCAGGCAGGCTCTTTCTCAGGTAGAATACCAGAAAATGACTTCACTTTTCTGTAGTATTAGTACGTCAAGTCGGATAACCACGCCCACAAATGTAAACGAGTAAAGCCCCTATTAGTGCTTCGCCACTAATTCAGTCAGGCTCCGCTACCTGCCCGGCCGGCGGCGCCGTCACACACTGTTACAGTTTCGCGTCTGCGCAAAGCGGATCTGCGGGGGTAGGTGGAACTCGCGCATGCGCTTGGTGCAAAAGTGGGTTCGCCTCCTGACCTCTCTTCCGCGGTTTAGCAAGGAAATGCTTCCGGGTCGAAGGGCTTGCTTCCGGAGAGCGGGAAGGCTGAAACGTGGAGGTTAAGCCGGGGCCAAGTTTGCTGGATTGTCAGTGGAAAAGGCAGCTTCTATGGACAGGTCAGTTCTGGTGGTAACGGCTGAGCTCAGAGGATTGTCCTTTCTGTTTGTTGGCGCAACGAAATAGGTGAAACCCGACTCCTAGAGGAAGCCGAGGAGGGCTAAGTTACTGACCCTGGGATCGCTTTCCTGGGGTGGGGAGACTGCCGCCGATGGAAGAAAGGTCGCTTGTTGGGGGAGGGATACTGGTAATGATGATCCCCTGCATTGCCACGGCGGTTCTGCCATCTACTCTGCCTTTTCAAGGGACGTTTTTCGCTCCTGGAGTGGGCGGGTGGGAGGCGGTCCTGCCCTCGCGAATGATAAGTGCCAGAGATCACAAAACAGTCAGTGACGGAACTGGGTGGGATCTTACCCAGGTTTTCTAATTACAGGTTCCAGCATTAGGTATTGAATCGAGTTCTTTCTGTGACCCTGGCACTATAGTGTTCTAATGTTATGGCACACTCAGTGACCCTGGCGCTCCCCTGGCGACAAAGATGAGTTTTTCAAGGTTCTTGGCCTCAGGAAAATCGTTGTGTAGTGGAAACAGCCGAACAGTACAAAGTAATGAGTTTTGTATTGCTCTGTAGGAAAAGAAATGAGGGAACAATTAAGTTTCCCTTAACTCTGTCAAGAGAGTTAGCAGGAAGCTCTCTCAAAGGAGGTAACTTTCTAGTTGATCTTTGAATAATAATAGTAGGCAACATTGAGTTTCTTAAACGCTTTAAATGTACTATTAGCTAATTTATTCTTCATAACCGTTCCATAAGGATAGGTACTATGATCCTCTTTTCATAGGTAAGAGTAGGACTAAAAAGAATAAAAAACTTAGTCAAAGTTAGAAAGCTGATAAATAAGAACCAAGTTACAGGCCTGGATCTGTGTCTGTGTCTCCAGACTCCAGGAGGCTGTTGTTGAGTGTTTGCTAGTCCCCCAAGAGGACAAATGAAGGTAGGCCTTGTACAAAGTTATAAGGGCATAAAAGTGCATGTTTTGTGTAGCTGCATAATTACATGCAGTATATGTTTGTATGGGAGTGATGTTACTGGCCAAATATAAGGCTAAACTGTAAGATAGGGTCAGATTGTAAACACCATGCTAGGATATTTGGACTTGATTCTGTAGGCCAGAGATAGCTACCTGATAGTTTTAATATTCGATTCTTGTCATAAATACCAGTCTCATAATTCACACAATTTATTTTCTAGACCTTTGGCTGAGAATGGCATGGGAGATTCCACGTATTGTGACTATAATAGTGCTGAGACCAGAGACACCCTTGAGTGTACTCTAGAAAAAAGTAACTTGAAGGCTAATTTCTGCAGTTTGCTAGAACTTTTTTTACTTAGCCTCCCATCTCACCAGCTTAAACAACAGGTTTTTCATAGTACCCATGGTTTGAAGTATTTTGAATACTACAAAAGATGCTTCAAAGAGGTAGTTCCAGCAATTTTAGGAAACTACTCAATCCAGCAGGGGAAAGATTTAACTTCATGAAGCAATTATCTAAAACAGTGTTAAATATATATTCCAGGTGTTGAAATACTTCCATAGGAGAAAATAACAATGCTAGAAAGTCAAAGAAGTGTTTGTGCAGGTAAAATTTGAGGAAAACTTCAAGGGATAAGCAGAATTTGAAGCTGGGAGGTCACTGTCAACAAAAGGATCAAAGACTTGGCTCCTGGGCTGATCTGCACCTCTCTCTCATTCAGGGTCCTTTACTCCATTCATGACGATGAAGTTCTTTGCATATGCTACAGTCTCCTTTTATTCACTTGTGCTTGATTATCCTATTTTAGGAGTGGCTTTGGAGAGATGTCCTCGCCTGTGATCCGTGAGGCAGAGGTGACACGGACTGCACGGAAACAGAGTGCACAAAAAAGAGTTTTAAGTATCCTTTGCATTTTAAGCATAACTGTAAAAATTACAGCATGTTTGTAATCAGGATTAGAGAATTTTCTTTTTGTCAGAGAAACACTAGCTATAATAATAAAATGCTGTGGCAATTAGTTGTTTTTAACTCCCCAGATGTATTTCTTGATTTTTCTTATTTGTTATATGCTATCGGTGAGATTAAGATTTATGTTTCCCTGAAAAGGAGGATGTTCCATTTTGCTGCTTTCTTAATTGTGGTTAGCTAATGCTGAAATTAGATAACCTTTTTAATTTAAAATCCAACTAAACTCTTAGTTCATAGCATAGTAATCCAAGACAGATAACTGAGATTGTGAATCGTAGAGGGAACCATTTACTCTTTACATATAAAATATGGTAGCCATAAAATATTTTTTCTTGAAAAATGTATTCACATATTTTGTATAGTATGAAATATGGTTAATTCTAACTTTAATGATGTCTTCTTTACCTGGAAAACTTTTCTTAACTCTTCCTACAGTTTGGGCATCCCAAGATGACATTTTTGCTAATACTACACCAAGAAACCAGGTTATCCCTCGAACTCCCAACTCATCTCGACTTCCTTGTAAGATTCTTTGCTTTTAGAGCATTTAGTAATAATAATAATAGCAGCTAACCCTTACACTACATATAATAAATAGACAATATTTGGTTGGAATATCAGTAATTAAGAACAAATAATAACAAATGCAGTTACTATTTGTTGAACTCCTTACCACGTGTAAAGCACTGTATTTTACGTAAGTACACAATAACCATAATGTAGGTGTTTATCTCTGTTTTGCCAAAACTGAACATGAGACTTAGAAGTTATTTAATGAAAATAACACAGCTAAGTATGTTAGTAAGGGAACCAAAATTCAAGCCATTATCTGCTTATTCCAAAACCTATGCCCTATACACTGTACTACCTCCTCAGTGAGCTTTATACACTTAGGATATGAAGAATCTATGGACTTACTAGTATCCTTATTTTTACTGGTCAGTTATGTTACAATGAAAGCATCTATACTTAATATTCTTCCTGATGGTCTTGTAGTCCCAAAAGATCAACTTTAGAAAATCAACTTAAATCTCCATATCATAAAAATCTTAATATTTAAAATATTTATTTGATTAGAACCCAGATAACTGAAGACTGAAATTATCTATTTTTTAGTATTACTTGCTGCTGATTTTGTTTTCATGATCAGTGCTCATGCACATGGAATTCTTTTTACTAACCTCTTATTTGCAGTTACTCCACTGAATCGAAGCTTACTAAGGCAGCCAGATGTTTCCTGCATTATTGGAACAGGAGGGAGGTCTCCCCGCCTTACACAGTCTTCAGGGTTCTTGGGAAATCTGTCAATGGTATGTAGAAAAATGGGGCTGAAATTTTCTACCTTTTTATTAAAGTATGATATTTAGCTTAAAAGCCTTTAATGCAAATTAAAGTCTTACTCATCATAAAAGTAGACTATACATGGCTTGAAATAATTACTTTGTTAGGCTTTCAGAAAACTTACACCTAAGCATCTCATGACACATATGGAGGCTGTGATAGCAGCCTTTAGGTGCAAATACAATGTGTGAATCTGATAGTTTGATGATCAGAGGAATTATATTCTGATTGGTTGCTGATGGCTATTAAAGCTAGGCCATGTTTTGAATCACAGAATAGTGGGAAGCCAAGAATAATCCAGGAGGAATATCCTAAGGAAGAGAGTACATTAAAAGGAAGAAAAGATTTGAGGGAAAGTAGATGAGACATTCTTTAGGAATCACTGATATAGTATTTAAAATAGCAGAAGAAATATACAAAGTGTGGTGCAGAATGGCTTGACTTAGGTGTTTAAAATATCCTGTAGAGAAAGAAAGAATTGTATCTGAGAAGAAGGAAACTGAAGAATTTTGTTAGAGTAGTAGAATGTTATGGCATACTTAGTTCCAAAAAAAAGGAAAAAATGGTTCTTCTCTCTTTAGCTCCATACTTATTAAGAAGGCAGAGAGATTTTTATGCAGACTTAAAATTATCTAAATTAGGTGTTTTTGAAGAGTGGTTTTTTGCATGTTAAACTTCCCCTGTCTTAGAAGGTTAAATTGTATTATAGCCTTGTGTTAAAAAAAGGAAAAAATGGTTCTTCTCTCTTTAGCTCCATACTTATTAAGAAGGCAGAGAGATTTTTATGCAGACTTAAAATTATCTAAATTAGGTGTTTTTGAAGAGTGGTTTTTTTGCATGTTAAACTTCCCCTGTCTTAGAAGGTTAAATTGTATTATAGCCTTGTGTAGAGTGTTAATATCTATTAATGATCTAGTCATTGAACAATTTAGTCTGCTTATGAAACTGGCTTATTTTGGCAGTGTTTATCTTGTTCTACTTTAAACAGGAGTAAGTTAACTGCCTCTGGGTTTTAGCAAAAGGAGATGACTATTATTTTTTGTTTCGGAACTGTTAAGATTAATAGTAAAATTGTTACTCTCCTAAAACACCAGAATAAAGTAAAGTGTATTGATCATTATGTTTGAAATTGCTTGTGGTCAAATGTGTTTTCTCAATTTATTTTACTAGTTTTATTGTCAGCTGTGGGATGGTCTTGGATATATAGGTTGACCTGAAGGAAGTAGAATTATTTACTATGTTAATTTTACTATGTTTGTGAGGATTTCATTGTGGACCAGTTTTTTTCCGAATGTAAAATGTCATTGCTGTTTAACATTTTCGTATACTAGTGTATACTGACAATTAGTGTAGGCTACTGATGGTAAGTATCCAGAAGAGAGTGACCTGTTAATCCATCTCTTGTAGCTGAACTGAGGTTCTCCTCAGCCCATAGTTACTATGTCATGAATATATGGGGTTCCAGTGCCCATCTTTAGCATTTTTCTTGGGGAGACTGATTTAAAGGTACAATTTTATTGTGGCTTGTGCTTGAATTTTACATAAAGGTGAGTTTTAAAAAACTTTTTATTATGTATATTTGTAAACATGTCCAAAAATAGAATAGTAGAGGAAGGCCCTATGTGCTCTTGGCCCAGTTTCAATAGTAACCAACATATGACTGATCTTGTTTCACCTATACTCACAAGCATTCCCCCACATTACTTTACAACTCCCAAATTACATACCATTTTATCCATAAATACTTCATCACATAGCCCTGACATACAAGGAAGCTTTCTTTAACATAAGCAGAGTACTGTTACCTCAGGTACCGCCCCCTACACACACACACACACACACACACACACACTCTCTCTCTCTCTCTCTCACATATATTTCTTTTATCATCATGAATATTTCAGTAGGTGTTGACATTTTCTTTTTTGTATCAAATATTTTTAAGTTGCTTTGTTCAAGTCAGGATTCAGACAAGGTCAACACAAGGGATTTACTTGGTATATCTCTTAAGTCTTTTAATCTGTAAATTCCTCCCTCATTCTTTTTTGTTACCATTTGTTGAAGAAACTGAATCATTTGTCTCGTTCGGTTTCCCAAATGTGAAAAATTGATGTGAACTTAAGAGCAACAGGATTTCCTTATTTTACCTATTAATACCAGCCTAAATATTACAAAATACTGTCCTTTTTGGCTTTTTATTTAAAGTATGCAGTAGTGGAAAGAAGAAAAGTTTAAAAGCCATTATTTCCTTAACAAAATAGCCCTGTGGCTATCTTTAAAAATGAAAAGTACATACATAAGGTTTTTAAAAATTGAGTACTGTTGAAGTCTGTATTCAGTCAGTGGCAATACCTCCATTACATTTCTGTATCTTTTTTTTTTGAGGTTACTAATCTGGATGACAGTAACTGGGCTGCTGCATTCTCATCACAGCGTTCAGGGCTCTTCACAAGCACAGAGCCCCACAGTGTAACAGAAGACGTAACTCTCAGTGCTGTTATGTTACGTGAGGATGATCCTGGAGAAGCTGGTAAAATGGCTTTCAGCTCTCTAATAGCGTAGTTTGTCACTTTATTAAGATCAAGAAAACTATTCGCCTCCTGTCCCTGAACATCATTATAAAATACTTTTTGTTAAGCTAATTAGTTATGTGTATGGATAAGCCATTTGATCTAGTAGCTCTGGAAGTCTGGGAACCTCCTGTTCTTAGTTGGAGCGGCATCTTGCCATTTTATCTTTCAGTGTATATCACAGCCTGTCAGGTTATTAGACAGGTCTCTAATATTTTTATTCTTTTCTATTTGTGCTGTTGTAAGAGCTCTTTTTCTTTAGGTTAAATTTTGATTTAACAATGTTAAAATGTTTTTTTTGGCCTGGATGCTAATGCTGTTTTTCAAATAGTACTGTGATCTTTCTAGTTTTAGGTTGGTTATTACCATTTCCTTTTGGAAAAAACATTTGCTTTTAATGTTGCTATATCTATGCATTTTTACATAGATACTTCATCATAAGCTGTCATATGAGTGCTAGTCAATATGCTTAACCATTGTATGAACATTAACTCATATAGTGGTCCATTAAATAGATACAGTAACTATTCCCATTTTAGGAGAAAGGAAACTGCTGTTCAAAGGGTTAAGTAACCTGCTTATCACTGACTGGGAAGTGATGGCACCAGGATTTGAAACTAAGCAGTTTGGTTACAGAGCCTCTCTTAACACTGTGGTAACCACTACTTCCTTTAGTTTCTGCAATAATAAATACTCAAATTTTGAGTGACTCAAAAACTCAAAAATACTTTGTACTTAATCTATAAAATACAAATATTTCATTTGTAGTATGAACAATGGGTGAGATCTTAAATAATATTCTATCATATTGTAGTAGAGCATATGTATTTTCCCTGAGTAGAACATATCATGTTAGAAATCTAACTTTCCCAGCTACTTTGTTATGATGTGCTTAAAATATAATTCAGATATTTTAAAATTTGGCTCATGTTTTTGTAGTAATTGTTGACAGACTAATAACCAGTACTTCTCTAGAGTCTTAAAAAACTTGAGCTAACAAAAGAAAAATCATGTAAGTTGGTCTACATCAAAATTTAAACCTTCTATGTATCAAAAGATACAATCAGTAAAATGAAAAGGCAACCCACAGAATGGGAGAATATATTTGCAAATCATATATCTGGGAAGAGGTTAATATCCAGAATGTAGAAAGAACTCATCCAACTCAACTACAGAAACCAAACAACCCAATGAAAAAAATGGGCAAAGTACTTGAAAGGACATTTCTCCAAAGAAGATCCAAAAGTAGCCAATAAGCACATGAAAAGATGCTCAACAACACTAATGAATAGGGAAATGCAAAACAAAACCACAGACACCACTTAACACCCATTAACATGCCTGCTATCAAGACAAACAGAAAATAACAAGTGTTGACAAGGATGTGGAGAAATCATAGACCTTGTATATGGTTGGTGGGAATGTAAAATGGTGCAGAGCTATGGAAAACAGTATGTGGTTCCTAAAAAAATTAAACATAGAATTACCATATAACCTAGCAATTCTCCCTCTGGGTATGTACAGAAGAACTCAAAGAGATTTGTATACTCTTGTTCATTGCTTCATTATTCCTAATGGCCAAAAGGTAGAAGCAATCCAAATGTCCATTGATGGGTGAATGGATAAACAAAATGTGGTCTATACATACTGTGAGATATTATTCAGCCTTAAAAAGGAAGGAAATCCAGACACATACTGCAACAAGCATGAACCTTGAGGACATTATGCTAAATGAAATATGCCAGTGACAAAAGGACAAGTATTGTATGATTCTACTTATAAGAGGTACTTAGAGTAAATTCGTAGACAAAAAGAATGATGGTTGCCAGAGTTTGGGGAAGGAAGGATTGAGAGTTATTGTTTAATATGTACAGAGTTTTTGTTTTTTTAATTGAGATATAATTGACATATGACATTGTGTAAGTTTAAAGTGTACAAAATACTGATTTGATACATTTGCATATTACAATAAAATGATTAGTGTTAGCTGATGCCTTGATTACATCTTCATATATAATTACCATTTCATTTTTGTAGTGAGAATATTTAAGATCTAGTCTCTTAGCAACTTTGAACTATATAATGCAGATTTGTTGACACTATCAATGTTGTGCATTAGATTTCTAGAACTTACTCATTTTCTATTACAAGTCTATACCCTTTGTCTGATAGGTCTCCAGTCTACTCCCACCAGCCTCTGGTAAAAAAACATTCTACTCCCCATGTCTATAAGTTTGGCTTTTTAGATTCCACATATATGTAATATGATGCAGTGTTTGTCTTTCTATCAAATTTACCTCACTTGGCAGAATGCCCTCGAGGTCTATCCATGTTATTCTAAATGGCAGAATTTCCGTTCTTGTGGCTGGACAGTGTGTGTGTACATCCCACTTCTTTATGCCTTCATCCAGTGATAGACAATTGGGTTGTTTCCATATCTTTGCTATTGTGAATAATGCCCCAGCAAATCTGTGAGTAAATATCCTATTCTCATTTCCTTTGGACATGTACCCAGAAATGGAATTGCTGGGTCTTATGGTATTTCTATTGTAAATTTTTTGAAGGACCTCCATACTGTTTTCCATAGTGCTGAGCCAATTTATATTCTCAGTAATAGGGCACAAACGTTCTTTTCTCCTTACTTTTGCCAACACTTGTTATTTCTTGTCTTAATGATAGCCATTCTAACAGGTGTGAAGTGCTGTCTCATTGTGATTTTGATTTGTATTCCCTGATGATTAGTGATGATAAGCATCTTTTTATGTACTTGCTGGCCATTTGTATGTTGTCTTTGAAGAAAAGTCCATACAGTTACCCTGCCCATTTATCAGTCAGTCTGTTGTTCTTGTTCTTGAGTTGTATGAGTTCTTATATTTTGGAGAGTAACCCTTTACCAGGTACATGTTTCACAAATAGATTCTATGAGTCCATAGGTTGCCTTTTCATTTGCTGATTGTTTCTTTTGTTTTTCAGAGCTTTTTAGTTTGACATAGTCCCATTTGTTGATTTTTTTTTCACTGCTTATGCTTTCGATATCATATCCAAAAAATTATTGCCAAGACTAGTGTCACAGAGCTCTTTTCCCTACCTTTTTTCCTAGGAATTTTACAGTTTAAGGTCTTCTGTTTAAGTCCTAATCCATTTTGAGTTCATTTTTATGAGTGATGTGAGCTAAGGGTCCAGCTTCATTTTTGTAAATGTGGTTACCTAGTTTTCCCATCACCATTTATTGAAGGGGCTATCCTTTCCCCATTGAGTATTCTTGGTTCCCTTTTTAAATCCTAGTTGACCATTAAAGTAGGAGTTTTATTTCTGGACTCTATTCTGTGCCATTGGTCTGTGTGTCTTTTTTAGGCCAGTGCCATACTATTTTGATTACTACAGCTTTGCAGTATAGTTTGAAGCCAGACCATTTGATGCCTCAAGCTTTGTTCTTTCTCAGGACTACTTTGGCTGTCCTGGGTTTTAGTTTTGTAAGATAAAAAGAATTCTGTGGATGAATGGTGGTGTTGGTAGCACAACAGTGTGAATGTACTCGATACCACTGAACTATACACTTAAAAATGTTCAAGGTGGTAAATTTTGTTATGTGTATTTTACCACAATTATGATTTCTTAAAAATACAGCAGTAAAAAAAAAAAGGAATGGTAGCTGTGTTTTTAAGTTTTGCAGAATTACCTAGAAGTGTGTCACTCAATTTTAATTGTTCCTTTTCTTTCTTAATGTGTTCTAGCATCCATGAGTATGTTTTCTGATTTCCTGCAGTCTTTTTTAAAGCATTCTTCAACTACAGTTTTTGACCTTGTAGAAGAGTATGAAAACATCTGTAGTAGTCAGGTATTTAATTTCATTCCATTGTTTCATTGTTGGTCGAACTTCAGTACTCTTAGTTTTTTTGAATAGCATCAACCTGTGAATTTCCATGTTGTATTAAAGGGAGATGTCTTTGGGGTGTAATAGCAGGAGTGAATGGTTGGCAGCCAGAGCAACTCTTTTTATATATAGAGGGTCCATATATGGTTTCTTTTAGGGGCAAAAGGATTCTGCTGCTTTAAAAAATGAAAATCCTTAATTTAAGAACTTTTAAAACTCAACGATAATGAAATGAACAATCCAGTGAAAAAATGGGGAAAACATGTTACCAGAGAAGACATACAGATGGCAAATAAGCATAACAAAAGACGTTCAGTATCATATGTCATAGGAAATTACAAATTAATCAGTGAGATGCCACTGTAACAGCAAAAATCCAAAACACAAACAACACTAAATGCTTGCAAGGATATAGAGTAACAATAATTGTCATTCATTGCTGGTAGGAAGGCAGAATGGAACAGCCACTTTGGAAGATAGTTTCTCAGTTTCTTAGAGAACTAAACATGCTCTTACCATACGATCCAACATTTGTATTCTTTGGTATTTACCTAAATGGGTACAATCTTGAGTCCATGCAAAGACTTGCAATTAGATAAATGGCTGCAGCAGCTTAATTCATAATTACCTAAACCTAGAAGCAACCAAGATGGCCTTTAATATGTGAATGGAGAAATTAACTGTGGGAGATGCAGACAGTGCAATATTATTCAGCACTAAAAGGAAATGAACTGTCAAGCCATGAAGAGACAAGAAAAAGAAGCCAATCTGAAAAGGCTACATACCATATGATTCCAACAACATGACATTCTGGAAAAGGCGAAACTCCAAGTAAAAAGATGGGTGGTCGCCAGGGCTTAGGAGGAGGTAAGGATGAAAAGTGGAGCACAGCCTATTTTTAGGTGAGTGAGATTTTACTGTATGATACGGTGGATACATGTCATTATACATTTGTTAAAACTCATAAGACACACAACTCTAAGTGTGAGCTCTTACGTAAACTATGGAGTTGTGGGTAGTTATGATGTGTCTATAGGTTCATTGATAACAAATGTACCAAGGTGCTGGATATTGACAGTGGGAGGTGAAGTTGTGCATATGTTGGGGCAGAGAGTAATGAGAACTTTCTGTATTTTACATTCAGTTGTGCTGCTCTAAAACTGGACCTAAAACTGCTTTAAAAAATAAGTCTATTTAAAAAAAGGAAAAGGCTACAAGAAACTCTGGGATTCAAGAAAAAGTGAAAAAATAGCCAACACTTATGAACATTTAATATTATTGCAATAATCAATCTCTGAATTGTTCCCTTACAAAAAGCGGTAGCTTCATTAAATAACCAAAGCAGTAATCACTTTGAATCACTGGCATTAGAATTACAACCAAGAATTTAATAAATGAGTGAGAAGTACAGGTAACACTTTTCCTAAACACTGGCCTTTAGAGAGAAGTAACATAACCAAATACTTTCTAAAGGGAGGGAAAACCTGTTGTGATGGTGTTGAGTTTTCATGTTTTGAATGAGAACAATCCTGTTTCTTAACTCCTTGGTAAGATGAGGAGGCTCTCTTCATAACCTTTGAGAAAGGTTTCCTGTACCCTGGGTCCTTAACACTCCTGATAAACAATTTTGTGTGTGTTTCTGGGGAGAACATCCATACCTTTTATTAGCTTCTGAAACTTGCCTCAACCCCAAAGAACTACTGCTATAGAACTAGGAGTGACTTTGGTTAAATTTGGGTTAGAAATGACAATGTTTTGGTACCAATCTTAGGAAAATATTTTTCTTGGTTATGTGGTATAAATTTTTCAGACGTAAGTTGACGATACTGCATTTTTAATTTTCAGTGGTGCTCTGAAGTTCTGTTATGAATTTGTCAGGTGTAGATTAGATTTAGCTTATCTTCTGGGTAGATTATACACGGAGAAAAAAATGTGCCCATGGCTCTTACTATTGAGTATGAAATCTAGAGTATATTGATCTTTAACATAAATATTCATATAAACACACCTTAGTTCAAATTAAGGCCATTTCTAGTGGGAATGTTGCATGCAATTGTAAAACAATAGGCAAGAAAAATTTATATAAATATGTGGGTGTGTATGTATATAATATAATTTTAGCAGTAAGTACTTGAAGAACACAAAGTTTGACTCAGAATCATAGAGGAGTCTGAATATGAGTCTGAGGAGGAGGAGACTGAGGAGGATGGCCACCTTGGAGCCGCCCGCGGAGCTGGTGGAGGCGCCCGAGGGGGAGGCAGCTGATATGGAAACCGAGGGTCCGGGAGAGCAAGGGAGAACCTCCCGTGGCATGAGCACAGGCCTTAAGGTGGATTGATTCATGTACATCCCAGTATGGCCTCTCAAGCTAAAGAAAAGGCATTTATGGAGTTAGGCAAGCGGGACAAGTTTGGTATAGTCACGTGATCTAACCCACCGGTTCCACCGGCATCCTATGGGAAAGGAATATGGAGTCAAAGGACGTTTCCATTTGTTTGCCTTTTGAAAGTAACAGGCCACCACTGCTTATCTGTGGAGAAATGCTGATGAAGAGAAAGATTACCGTTACAAGACAGAAGTCCTTGAGGTGGCCACAGGAGATGGCAGTTCCCGTGCCCTGCTGTCAGAGTGCTTTCCAAAAGGGCACTTGTGATGATGCAATTCCTCTGCTCCAAAATTCTTCATGGCTCTCCACTGCCTACTACATGAACCCAACTTTCAAGACTGGAACCCAGCTCCAACCAAACCTTCCAGCCTTGTTATCCCTCAGCAAGTCCCCATGTGTATCCTCTGTGAAAGCCAACACAAGCTACTCACTGTACCTTCATACTCTGTGTTCTCATCTCCAGGGCTTTGCTGGCACCCTCTGCCCTCAGTTCTGTCTGCTAAAAGCCTCATGCTTCAGTGCCTTCCCTGACATCCTAGCAAGAAATAACCCCTCACTGCCCCAGTGCCTGCAGCACTATGCAGTTCTTAAGGCCTGTGCAAAAAACTGTCAACTGTAAACACTCATAGTTTCAGATTATAAAGGACATATGTATGTTCTCATTTAGCCTCCTAATTAACACTGTCTTATCTAATAAAATGTTGAGTTTGAGGATGAGTCTTCTCTCTCCCACTAAATGATCCGCTCTCTGAGGTCAAGCACTAGGCCTTAGTCCTCTTTCAAGAGGCACAAAGCCAGTGCTCACTAAATGGTGTAGCGATATGAAATGATGCTGGATCTACCTCTGTGCGCAGGTGTATCTCAATGCAGCGAACATGTTTCTGAAAGTTAAAAAGCATCCTGGAAAAAAAAAAATCATAGAAAAACTCTTCACATCTGTTTTTAATTCAGGTGAATATACTGAATAAAATAGTGAGCCGAGCAACACCTGGACTTCAGAAGTTTTCTAAAACAGCTAGTATGCTCTGGCTTCTTCAACAGGAGATGGTCACATGGAGGCTGCTGGCTTCTTTGTATAGGTAAGGTTGTATAGGATTCAAAAGTGAAAGAAAAACAAGATAACAAACCAATAAACAAATTAATTTAGAAGTTATGATAGGATGTGTTTGGAAATAGATTCTGCTATTTTTGATTCTTATCGTTTCTAATACCTTAGTTGTCAGGAGTGAGTTAGTGGGGAGGAGGGAAATATTAGGCCATAAAGCTGGTGACTACTAAAAATTGGATATGTATAAAGATTTAAGGAAAGTGCATAATACTGTATGTAACGAGAGGATAAATTTGATCAAATTGGAAGCTTGAAAGAAGTTAACTAGATTTTCCTCCTCTTAGATGCTCAGTGGTTTTGGCTCTCATTCTGTTGTGTTCTCACCCTGACTTCAAAGAAAATCAGATTATTTAATTTTTGCCGTGTGAAAACATGACATTAAAAAGTTAGGAATGTGCATTTTTGGGGTAGCCATTAAAGACTCTTTGCAGTGTATTCCATGGGATTTTTAGTAAATACCAGTTTTATTCCAGTATCAAAATCAGAATCAGAAGGTATTTACTATCTGTATCTTATTTTTAAAGAATGATGGCTAAGTTCACTGGGAACTCATTTGTTTATGCTAAATAGAATGCAGGTTTATCCATGTATGTAGTTTAAAAGGTGATTTCATTATTCATGTGAAATTAGATTTTCATTTTGTTATTTTTTCCCCAGAGACAGAATACAGTCTGTATTAGAAGATGAAAATATGTTTGTAATTACTGTGAGTTTTATATTACTTTTTCTGTATAAATGTTTAAAAATTAAAATGTTCTTTCTTAGTAGAATTTTATTTTTCATCCTCCATCTTGAGTTTTTTCATTTAAAAAATTTTTTAAGTAAATAAGATACAATCTCATAAAATAATCAAATACTGGTTTATATTACAGAGTAAAAGAGTAAAAGAGTATATGGAGTATATCATGCAGTCCTCTTTTATCCCTCTTACTATTCAGTCTAGCAGTATGGGATGTATCCTACCAGATGTTTTTCTGTGCATCTTTATACCTACATACAGACACACACACAGTCACAGTTTGCTTTTTTAATTAGTATTAACTTAATTTATGATTTTATTTATATACTAACAGTTTTAGTTTTTATTCATCAATATTTCTTAGTTTTTTCATGTCAATTCATATAGGTTTGCATTATTTTTTTATAGTATGCCAGACTATAAATAAATATACTATAATTTTTTCAGGCATTTTGCTGATTGCTTCCAGTATTTTTGCTATGGCAATCAGTAATGTAATGAATGTTCATCTTCATATTTATCTCCTTATTTGAGTATTTCCTGTATTTTGGAAGTGTAATTGTTGGGTCAAAGTTTGATAGAGATTGTTACATTGCCTTCCTAATGGAATGTAGGCAGCAGTTTATCCTCACTAGCATTGTGTGAAAAATCTTTGCTCTGATTATCAGTCATTTGGCCAGTTGGAGGGAAGGTACCTCATTTTAATATGCATGTCATTGATCAGTACTGAGATGGAATGTTCTTCATTCTTAAGTATTTACATTCTTGTATGAATTCTATAGTCGTATCCTTTGCTCATTTTTCTATTGTCTCATTAATTGTTTCCTCATATATGCTAAATATGGTTCTCCTTTCTATCACTTGTCCTTTAACTTTGTTTAAGGAATCTTTGTCAAACAGATATTTCTATTTTTATGGGATCACAGTCATGTTTTCTTTGCTCACTCATCTTGTGTCTTGTTAAGGAAAGCCCCTCCTACTATCATAAATATATTCTACAATGTTTTCTTCGAAATCTTATCTTATTTTCTGCAAAGTAAGGTGTTGAATTCATCTGGATAAGTTTGTCTACGAGATAAGGAAGAAATTTTAACTTTTTAAAAATGGATATCCATATCCGAACACCGTTTATCAAATGAATTTATCATGTTTATACAGGGATCTTTTCTGTTTTTATGCATTTGAAAGCCAGTACTGTACTATACAAACAAATCACTCTAATTCAGAAGTTTTGATATTTGGTAAAGTAAGTCTCCTACTCATTTTGAAATTCATTTTTGCACAGTTTTCCATATGAACGTCATAATTTTCCATTTTTGGAAGTCCTATTGGAATAGTTACTGAAGTAATAATGAATTTGCAAATTAATTTGGGGAGAAATGACATCTTCACTATGTTGAATCTTTCTATTTATGATCAGGGCTTTTTGATTTGTATTCCCTGATGATTAGTGATGATAAGCATCTTTTTATGTACTTGCTGGCCATTTGTATGTTGTCTTTGAAGAAAAGTCCATACAGTTACCCTGCCCATTTATCAGTCAGTCTATTGTTCTTGTTCTTGAGTTGTATGAGTTCTTATATTTTGGAGAGTAACCCTTTACCAGGTACATGTTTCACAAATAGATTCTATGAGTCCATAGGTTGCCTTTTCATTTGCTGATTGTTTCTTTTGTTTTTCAGAGCTTTTTAGTTTGACATAGTCCCATTTGTTGATTTTTTTTTCACTGCTTATGCTTTCGATATCATATCCAAAAAATTATTGCCAAGACTAGTGTCACAGAGCTCTTTTCCCTACCTTTTTTCCTAGGAATTTTACAGTTTAAGGTCTTCTGTTTAAGTCCTAATCCATTTTGAGTTCATTTTTATGAGTGATGTGAGCTAAGGGTCCAGCTTCATTTTTGTAAATGTGGTTACCTAGTTTTCCCATCACCATTTATTGAAGGGGCTATCCTTTCCCCATTGAGTATTCTTGGTTCCCTTTTTAAATCCTAGTTGACCATTAAAGTAGGAGTTTTATTTCTGGACTCTATTCTGTGCCATTGGTCTGTGTGTCTTTTTTAGGCCAGTGCCATACTATTTTGATTACTACAGCTTTGCAGTATAGTTTGAAGCCAGACCATTTGATGCCTCAAGCTTTGTTCTTTCTCAGGACTACTTTGGCTGTCCTGGGTTTTAGTTTTGTAAGATAAAAAGAATTCTGTGGATGAATGGTGGTGTTGGTAGCACAACAGTGTGAATGTACTCGATACCACTGAACTATACACTTAAAAATGTTCACGGTGGTAAATTTTGTTATGTGTATTTTACCACAATTATGATTTCTTAAAAATACAGCAGTAAAAAAAAAAAGGAATGGTAGCTGTTTTTTTAAGTTTTGCAGAATTACCTAGAAGTGTGTCACTCAATTTTAATTGTTCCTTTTCTTTCTTAATGTGTTCTAGCATCCATGAGTATGTTTTCTGATTTCCTGCAGTCTTTTTTAAAGCATTCTTCAACTACAGTTTTTGACCTTGTAGAAGAGTATGAAAACATCTGTAGTAGTCAGGTATTTAATTTCATTCCATTGTTTCATTGTTGGTCGAACTTCAGTACTCTTAGTTTTTTTGAATAGCATCAACCTGTGAATTTCCATGTTGTATTAAAGGGAGATGTCTTTGGGGTGTAATAGCAGGAGTGAATGGTTGGCAGCCAGAGCAACTCTTTTTATATATAGAGGGTCCATATATGGTTTCTTTTAGGGGCAAAAGGATTCTGCTGCTTTAAAAAATGAAAATCCTTAATTTAAGAACTTTTAAAACTCAACGATAATGAAATGAACAATCCAGTGAAAAAATGGGGAAAACATGTTACCAGAGAAGACATACAGATGGCAAATAAGCATAACAAAAGACGTTCAGTATCATATGTCATAGGAAATTACAAATTAATCAGTGAGATGCCACTGTAACAGCAAAAATCCAAAACACAAACAACACTAAATGCTTGCAAGGATATAGAGTAACAATAATTGTCATTCATTGCTGGTAGGAAGGCAGAATGGAACAGCCACTTTGGAAGATAGTTTCTCAGTTTCTTAGAGAACTAAACATGCTCTTACCATACGATCCAACATTTGTATTCTTTGGTATTTACCTAAATGGGTACAATCTTGAGTCCATGCAAAGACTTGCAATTAGATAAATGGCTGCAGCAGCTTAATTCATAATTACCTAAACCTAGAAGCAACCAAGATGGCCTTTAATATGTGAATGGAGAAATTAACTGTGGGAGATGCAGACAGTGCAATATTATTCAGCACTAAAAGGAAATGAACTGTCAAGCCATGAAGAGACAAGAAAAAGAAGCCAATCTGAAAAGGCTACATACCATATGATTCCAACAACATGACATTCTGGAAAAGGCAAAACTCCAAGTAAAAAGATGGGTGGTCGCCAGGGCTTAGGAGGAGGTAAGGATGAAAAGTGGAGCACAGCCTATTTTTAGGTGAGTGAGATTTTACTGTATGATACGGTGGATACATGTCATTATACATTTGTTAAAACTCATAAGACACACAACTCTAAGTGTGAGCTCTTACGTAAACTATGGAGTTGTGGGTAGTTATGATGTGTCTATAGGTTCATTGATAACAAATGTACCAAGGTGCTGGATATTGACAGTGGGAGGTGAAGTTGTGCATATGTTGGGGCAGAGAGTAATGAGAACTTTCTGTATTTTACATTCAGTTGTGCTGCTCTAAAACTGGACCTAAAACTGCTTTAAAAAATAAGTCTATTTAAAAAAAGGAAAAGGCTACAAGAAACTCTGGGATTCAAGAAAAAGTGAAAAAATAGCCAACACTTATGAACATTTAATATTATTGCAATAATCAATCTCTGAATTGTTCCCTTACAAAAAGCGGTAGCTTCATTAAATAACCAAAGCAGTAATCACTTTGAATCACTGGCATTAGAATTACAACCAAGAATTTAATAAATGAGTGAGAAGTACAGGTAACACTTTTCCTAAACACTGGCCTTTAGAGAGAAGTAACATAACCAAATACTTTCTAAAGGGAGGGAAAACCTGTTGTGATGGTGTTGAGTTTTCATGTTTTGAATGAGAACAATCCTGTTTCTTAACTCCTTGGTAAGATGAGGAGGCTCTCTTCATAACCTTTGAGAAAGGTTTCCTGTACCCTGGGTCCTTAACACTCCTGATAAACAATTTTGTGTGTGTTTCTGGGGAGAACATCCATACCTTTTATTAGCTTCTGAAACTTGCCTCAACCCCAAAGAACTACTGCTATAGAACTAGGAGTGACTTTGGTTAAATTTGGGTTAGAAATGACAATGTTTTGGTACCAATCTTAGGAAAATATTTTTCTTGGTTATGTGGTATAAATTTTTCAGACGTAAGTTGACGATACTGCATTTTTAATTTTCAGTGGTGCTCTGAAGTTCTGTTATGAATTTGTCAGGTGTAGATTAGATTTAGCTTATCTTCTGGGTAGATTATACACGGAGAAAAAAATGTGCCCATGGCTCTTACTATTGAGTATGAAATCTAGAGTATATTGATCTTTAACAAATATTCATATAAACACACCTTAGTTCAAATTAAGGCCATTTCTAGTGGGAATGTTGCATGCAATTGTAAAACAATAGGCAAGAAAAATTTATATAAATATGTGGGTGTGTATGTATATAATATAATTTTAGCAGTAAGTACTTGAAGAACACAAAGTTTGACTCAGAATCATAGAGGAGTCTGAATATGAGTCTGAGGAGGAGGAGACTGAGGAGGATGGCCACCTTGGAGCCGCCCGCGGAGCTGGTGGAGGCGCCCGAGGGGGAGGCAGCTGATATGGAAACCGAGGGTCCGGGAGAGCAAGGGAGAACCTCCCGTGGCATGAGCACAGGCCTTAAGGTGGATTGATTCATGTACATCCCAGTATGGCCTCTCAAGCTAAAGAAAAGGCATTTATGGAGTTAGGCAAGCGGGACAAGTTTGGTATAGTCACGTGATCTAACCCACCGGTTCCACCGGCATCCTATGGGAAAGGAATATGGAGTCAAAGGACGTTTCCATTTGTTTGCCTTTTGAAAGTAACAGGCCACCACTGCTTATCTGTGGAGAAATGCTGATGAAGAGAAAGATTACCGTTACAAGACAGAAGTCCTTGAGGTGGCCACAGGAGATGGCAATTCCCGTGCCCTGCTGTCAGAGTGCTTTCCAAAAGGGCACTTGTGATGATGCAATTCCTCTGCTCCAAAATTCTTCATGGCTCTCCACTGCCTACTACATGAACCCAACTTTCAAGACTGGAACCCAGCTCCAACCAAACCTTCCAGCCTTGTTATCCCTCAGCAAGTCCCCATGTGTATCCTCTGTGAAAGCCAACACAAGCTACTCACTGTACCTTCATACTCTGTGTTCTCATCTCCAGGGCTTTGCTGGCACCCTCTGCCCTCAGTTCTGTCTGCTAAAAGCCTCATGCTTCAGTGCCTTCCCTGACATCCTAGCAAGAAATAACCCCTCACTGCCCCAGTGCCTGCAGCACTATGCAGTTCTTAAGGCCTGTACAAAAAACTGTCAACTGTAAACACTCATAGTTTCAGATTATAAAGGACATATGTATGTTCTCATTTAGCCTCCTAATTAACACTGTCTTATCTAATAAAATGTTGAGTTTGAGGATGAGTCTTCTCTCTCCCACTAAATGATCCGCTCTCTGAGGTCAAGCACTAGGCCTTAGTCCTCTTTCAAGAGGCACAAAGCCAGTGCTCACTAAATGGTGTAGCGATATGAAATGATGCTGGATCTACCTCTGTGCGCAGGTGTATCTCAATGCAGCAAACATGTTTCTGAAAGTTAAAAAGCATCCTGGAAAAAAAAAAATCATAGAAAAACTCTTCACATCTGTTTTTAATTCAGGTGAATATACTGAATAAAATAGTGAGCCGAGCAACACCTGGACTTCAGAAGTTTTCTAAAACAGCTAGTATGCTCTGGCTTCTTCAACAGGAGATGGTCACATGGAGGCTGCTGGCTTCTTTGTATAGGTAAGGTTGTATAGGATTCAAAAGTGAAAGAAAAACAAGATAACAAACCAATAAACAAATTAATTTAGAAGTTATGATAGGATGTGTTTGGAAATAGATTCTGCTATTTTTGATTCTTATCGTTTCTAATACCTTAGTTGTCAGGAGTGAGTTAGTGGGGAGGAGGGAAATATTAGGCCATAAAGCTGGTGACTACTAAAAATTGGATATGTATAAAGATTTAAGGAAAGTGCATAATACTGTATGTAACGAGAGGATAAATTTGAAAAAGAACTGAAAGATCAAATTGGAAGCTTGAAAGAAGTTAACTAGATTTTCCTCCTCTTAGATGCTCAGTGGTTTTGGCTCTCATTCTGTTGTGTTCTCACCCTGACTTCAAAGAAAATCAGATTATTTAATTTTTGCCGTGTGAAAACATGACATTAAAAAGTTAGGAATGTGCATTTTTGGGGTAGCCATTAAAGACTCTTTGCAGTGTATTCCATGGGATTTTTAGTAAATGCCAGTTTTATTCCAGTATCAAAATCAGAATCAGAAGGTATTTACTATCTGTATCTTATTTTTAAAGAATGATGGCTAAGTTCACTGGGAACTCATTTGTTTATGCTAAATAGAATGCAGGTTTATCCATGTATGTAGTTTAAAAGGTGATTTCATTATTCATGTGAAATTAGATTTTCATTTTGTTATTTTTTCCCCAGAGACAGAATACAGTCTGTATTAGAAGATGAAAATATGTTTGTAATTACTGTGAGTTTTATATTACTTTTTCTGTATAAATGTTTAAAAATTAAAATGTTCTTTCATAGTAGAATTTTATTTTTCATCCTCCATCTTGAGTTTTTTCATTTTTAAAATTTTTTAAGTAAATAAGATACAATCTCATAAAATAATCAAATACTGGTTTATATTACAGAGTAAAAGAGTAAAAGAGTATATGGAGTATATCATGCAGTCCTCTTTTATCCCTCTTACTATTCAGTCTAGCAGTATGGGATGTATCCTACCAGATGTTTTTCTGTGCATCTTTATACCTACATACAGACACACACACAGTCACAGTTTGCTTTTTTAATTAGTATTAACTTAATTTATGATTTTATTTATATACTAACAGTTTTAGTTTTTATTCATCAATATTTCTTAGTTTTTTTCATGTCAATTCATATAGGTTTGCATTATTTTTTTATAGTATGCCAGACTATAAATAAATATACTATAATTTTTTCAGGCATTTTGCTGATTGCTTCCAGTATTTTTGCTATGGCAATCAGTAATGTAATGAATGTTCATCTTCATATTTATCTCCTTATTTGAGTATTTCCTGTATTTTGGAAGTGTAATTGTTGGGTCAAAGTTTGATAGAGATTGTTACATTGCCTTCCTAATGGAATGTAGGCAGCAGTTTATCCTCACTAGCATTGTGTGAAAAATCTTTGCTCTGATTATCAGTCATTTGGCCAGTTGGAGGGAAGGTACCTCATTTTAATATGCATGTCATTGATCAGTACTGAGATGGAATGTTCTTCATTCTTAAGTACTTACATTCTTGTATGAATTCTATAGTCGTATTCTTTGCTCATTTTTCTATTGTCTCGTTGTTTCCTCATATATGCTAAATATGGTTCTCCTTTCTATCACTTGTCCTTTAACTTTGTTTAAGGAATCTTTGTCAAACAGATATTTCTATTTTTATGGGATCACAGTCATGTTTTCTTTGCTCACTCATCTTGTGTCTTGTTAAGGAAAGCCCCTCCTACTATCATAAATATATTCTACAATGTTTTCTTCGAAATCTTATCTTATTTTCTGCAAAGTAAGGTGTTGAATTCATCTGGATAAGTTTGTCTACGAGATAAGGAAGAAATTTTAACTTTTTAAAAATGGATATCCATATCCGAACACCGTTTATCAAATGAATTTATCATGTTTATACAGGGATCTTTTCTGTTTTTATGCATTTGAAAGCCAGTACTGTACTATACAAACAAATGACTCTAATTCAGAAGTTTTGATATTTGGTAAAGTAAGTCTCCTACTCATTTTGAAATTCATTTTTGCACAGTTTTCCATATGAACGTCATAATTTTCCATTTTTGGAAGTCCTATTGGAATAGTTACTGAAGTAATAATGAATTTGCAAATTAATTTGGGGAGAAATGACATCTTCACTATGTTGAATCTTTCTATTTATGATCAGGGCATATCTCCATTTATTTAGATCTTCTGTAATTTACCTAGATTCATGCTCTTCCCTTCAAAAGTCTGTGAGAATCCTACTGTAAATGGATTATCTTCCCTATTTCATTTTCTGCCTATTACTGTCAAACATAAGGTTTTTGATTTACATGTGATGATTTTGATTACATATAATGATTTATGTGTAGAGCTCATATTTAGCCAACTTCCAGAACTCTTTAACTAAGTCCAGTAGGTTTTTCGTTTGATTTCATTGGGTTTTCTATGTTGGCAGTACTCATCTGTGAGAGTAAGTTTCCTTTGATCCTTTCTACTCTCTCATTTCCTTTACTTGCCTTATTGAATGAGTAGGAGCACCCACAAAATGTTGAACTGTATCAGTAATAACATTCTTGTTCCTGTGTTTTGATAAGAATACTTTTGTTTTATTGCATGTTGAGGGTTTCCTTTCTTCCTCTTAAGAGTTGGGATGAGTATTGGATTCAGTCAAATATTATTTAGCTTCTATAAATGTCTGCTTTAATGTATTAATATAATGGCTTTCATTAATAGTTTTTCTAATGTTGAATTATCTGCAGGTAGGATAAATTCTCAGTTATGACGTATTCCTAAATATACTATTAAATTTTATTGGCTAATATTTCATTTACAACTTTCCCAAATATGTTTTCTTTCTTTGTGACTTATCTTCATCCACTTTTGGTGTCTAGAATTGTGTTAGCTCTCCAGAACAAGTTCATAAATCTTCCACCATTTTTTTGTGCCCTATTTGAAGAATAAATGAACTGTTTTTTAAAGTCTTGGTAAAGATAGACCTTTAAAACCATAAAGGCCAGATGCACTTTTTAGGTTCATTGCTTATTTTTCATACTATAAACGTAATTGGTGTTTGACGCAACTCTAAATAATCAAAAAAGGAGAACATAAGTACAGTTGACGCTTGAACAATATGGGTTTGAGTTGCGTGGGTACACTTTTACACATATTTTTTTCAATAAATATATTGGAAAAGCTTTCAGAGATTTGAGACAGTTTGAAAAATATTTTCTGTAGCTTAACTTTATTGTAAGACCACAGTATATAATACATGTAATGTATAAAATATGTATTAATTGACTGTTGTTATTTGTAAGGCTTCCAGTCAACAGTAGACTGTTAGTAGTTAAGTTTTGGGGGAGTCAGAAGTTATATGCAGATTTTTGACTTGGGTGGTATCAGCACCCCTAACTTCCATGTTGCTCAAAGACCAACTGTATACATTTTTATAATAAATTATTTCAACCACACATCCGTTAATCTGCTTTTTCACCTAAAATATTTTTAAATAACTTTCAATCTTTTCGTTAATTTAATCTACAAATAGTTACTTCATTCTAATGAAGTGACTTGCACATCTGGGAAGATTATTTCCTGTATATTTGGCTATTTATTGAACTCACTTGTTAGTTTTAATAGTTTTGCTTTGGTGGTCTTATTTTTCTTGGTAGACAATCCTATTACCTACAAATAGTGATGACTCTCACTCTTTTTCCATACTTACTACTACTTAGTTCTTTTCCTGATTTGATATATTAGCTAGAACTTTCAAAGTAGTTAAATAATGGCAAGAATTTATATTCTTTTCATCTTCTGGATTTTAAAGGAATTAAAGATATTCATGTGACTTTCTCCTTTACCCCACAAATAAGATGTATTAATAGACTTGACCCATGCTTGCACTGGTCACACTATATTATCCTTCTGATATATTGCTTAATGTTACTTAATGATACTTACTTCAAGTTGTCTTTTAACAGCCTTTAATTGTTAAGTATTATCACCTGTCAACTTCTGCCATGTAGGATGAAAAGATTTTAAATGTTTATATTCTAATGTATCATGTAATTTCCTTTAGCCTTTCATAATTATGTTTTCATTTCATTTTACTTTGTGTTTTATTTTTTCCTAAAAAACATCTATGGGGAAGTAGAATTTTATAAATCTGGTATGTGGCCAAAGAATTAAATTAACAAGTAAGAGCTGCTGTACATTAATTTAGGTAAAAACTTGAAATTTATTAATGAAAACTTTTCAAAGATGAATATACAGATGTGCTATGTGGTAAAATGTTTATGGGGACTAAGTGTACTTATTTTAGGTTTGCTTTTGCCTTTTTACTAAAATAATGATCTTAGAGCATCTTCTTTCTTTAATATAATCTTTAAATAATCTTTTTAAAAATAGGCT